GGGAGGGGAGATTTTTAGTGTTGTCCCCTCCCTTTGTTTGGTCTAAAAAATTGGAAGGTTCAAAGGAGAGATTTTTTAAAATCTTAAAATTTTTCCTCCTCTCCCTTCCAAATTGGGGGGATTAGGAGAGGAGTAAAATTTTCTATACCTTAACCAATATTTTCTCAGTGATAAGTTTAAAAAATGCATATACACCTCTCTAGTATATCAACACTAATATGAGGGTAAAATTATTTATATATAATTATTTTTCCTCCCCTCTCTTCCTGAACTAAACAAAATAACATCAAATTATTCACTTCCCCTCCCCTCAAACCAAACACACTCTAAAAGTGGAGGCTTGATCAAAGGCCCATTTTTATGGAGGGGTGGAATTTTCCCAATATAGCCCTCCCATATTTTAAATTTTTTTTCAATTTTGTACCTGCACTTTTTAAATCTGATTTTTTTTTCCGGCAAATGAAATCCATTTTTTCATGTAAATTAATTTTCCAAACACCAATAATACGCTTTCTAAATACGTAATCAAACATGTATATATATCTATAATATATAACTTATATCTATGACCTATAAATTTATAAATAGTAAACTCTGTAAAAAAGCTTCTTTTTTATATCTAATATTTTCTTTTTATCATTTTTTGTTTACTTTAATTTTGTTAAACTTACATACTCCTTCCGATCATATTTATAAGTTATTTTTATTAACATCATCAATATTAATATAACAAAAGTATAAAAAAATAAAAGTAAGTAAAATTTTAAACATACCCCTCAAATAAAAAGCAAAGAACTTGTTTGGCAATTTATTTTGAGAACGGTTTTCTATTTTCTAGAACAAAAATAAAAAAAATCTATTTAGAAATGTGTTTTTAAAAAATGTTTTGGAGGACAAAAAAAATTAAATATTGTTTTGGAGAATATAAAAATAAAAATATTTTTTAAATATTCTGAAATTATTATCCTAGAAAAAAATATATAAAAAATACCTATTTTTATTATTTTCTTATTCTCAAAATATATTTTATAAAATATCAGTTTTCATAACAATAAATAAAAATGATTCCAAACAAGCTCAAAAAGAAAATACAAACCATATAATTTTTGCTTTTTTTCTCTCTCTTATTTTTTAAGAATAGTTTAAAATTTTTAATTTAAAATAAAATAATTTCATCGGCCAATAGCTTATAAAATAAATTAGATTGTAGTTTTTAAAAACGCCTAACATGCAGGAATGGAGCGAGTAATTATCAAATTAACTAATGATATGCAACTTTTGGCCTTTATTTATTATTTTGATCAGATTTGGGATTGGGAAAGGCTGAATGAATTATTATATTTATTATCTTTGGTCTCTCTCATCGAATTGGGGCTGGTTCATGCTCGTCAGCTGAGGTGTGGGGAATTCTTTATTATCTTTGGTCTCTCTCATCGAATTGGGGCTGGTTCATGCTCGTCAGCTGAGGTGTGGGGAATTCTTTGGGGTTTGAAGATGACGTGGGACAAGGTTTTGAGAGTGACTGCTATGAGATTGTAGTTTTCTGGAAAAAGACTGGCAGATTGATACTCATCAATGTAATCGTAGTGCGGACGAAGTCGCCGACGGATATGCTTCATTTGCCGCAAGCATGATGACTGATACAGTGATTTTTGCATTCCCTCCTCAGTTCCGGAGAAGTGAAAGTGGAAGTAAAATCGTAGAATTTAGGTGTTTGGTACATTGGAACCCAGCTTCATGGCATCAAAATTGATGGATTTTCATTTTTCTTTCGCCTCCACCTCTACTTATGCTTTCACCTCTGTCAAAAACTCTTCCTTATTATCAAACTGGAGATTACATAATGTTTGGGAGATTTTTTTTAGGGAGATAAAATGGAGTGGGATGATTAGAAGACATAGTCATTGTTTGTAATTTTTTTTTTTTTAAAAGAAGGATGGAATGGTAAGAAGGGCCTCTAAAGCCCTCATTTGCTATCCATAGTTTAATACTTTTTATCCTTCAAATTGGGGGTCAAAGATGGAGTTGTATAATATAATTATTTTATTTACAAAATTATTCCCAAACTTCTATCATAATAAAAAAAAAATTTATCTATCATTTTCATTCTTTAGTCATCTCTCTCATCTCCTGTTAGAGTTACACATGAGCAGGGTTGGGCCAAGCATCACCCCAACTCAGTGCCTAGCTTGTTGTGCACTTGGACATCAGGCTAGCCCAATTGGCTCGAAAATATTTTTACAAGTATTTTTTGAAAAATATATAAAAAAGTTTTCCTTGACAAAAATATTATTATTATTATTATTATTATTTAAAATATATTCTTTATAAAACTAATATTAGAATCAAAAGTAATTTTTTAAAAGTTCAAATGAACAACAATTGCCATTTATTTTACATAATAATAAGTTAAAAATAAATTTTAAATTTTCAAAGAGATTTAAAAAATTGTATGATAAAATATGTCTTAAAAGATCATAAAAATAATATAATTCATGATAATTTTCAATAAAAAATAATTGCATGAAATAAATATTATTCACAAAAATTAAAAAAAAAACTTGCACATGTTCAGACAAGGCAATGTCTGACCTCTGTCAATACTTGGCCCCATGTGCCCAAATGCTTTTGGCAAGGCTAGGCTTATCAAGTATTTAGGCATAGTGCATAGCAATAATTAAAAGATCGGATGGTCAAACTGGTTCGACCATCGACCAAACTGGATTTTGGCTCGGTTAGCATGTAAAAACCATTTTGGAAGTTGAGTCAAATTGGGCCATTTTGGACCGACATTAAAACTAAGAATCAGGATTAAGCCTAGAATCAGATCCGGTTTTCAAAAATTTGACTCTTTAAAAAAATATTTTTTATCAATTTTTTTTTTGAAAATGACAACTTTTGTTAATCATTTGATATTATGTTTTATCGTGTGGCTTGTTAAGTCATAATAAACTTAAAATAATTAGTTTACTTTTAAGTTAAGTGACAATTTCATATTTATTTCTTATATTTAAATTATTATATACATATATAATTTTTTTAATTTAATTATTACGTCACCGGTTTGACCACTAGCCCAACCTGATTGAACCATGCGAATTGTGAATCGCTAACCTCTCTAATTCAATATCCAGTCTAATTCTAAAAACATTGGTATATAGCCCTACCTCATGCCGTGTCTCTCTCGCTCTTGCCATCTCTCTCTATTGTACCTTTCAACACTATGACTTTATTGTGTTTTTGTCTTGTGTAACAAGAATGTTTTCTTAAATAACTTTATTACTTGCTTTCCTTTTTTATTCTTAATTATTGAGTATCTTGTTTAACCATTAATTTTATTATTATTATTTATTGAATGAATATTATAATTATTTAATTAGCATTATTTTTTTTTAAATTAGTCATATGGGTAATCTGAAAGAAAAAAAATTTAAATCATTTCATTTCATTCATTTTATAATAATTCTCAAGTGATGATGACATAAAACCGTTCCTTGCTATCATAAAACTCTCAAATAATAAAAAATTTTATTTTATTTCACTCCACTTCACTTCATTCCGTTCCATTTTATTAAGGATCGTTTTTTTTATTCAATTATAAATTCCCAAACACACTCTTAGAGTTATGTAAGAACATTGCTCATTGTTTGATGGCAACTAAGTAGTATTTTTTCCGTGTTTTGTTTTGTTTTTTTTCTTTTCCTTATCAATCAAAATATATATATATATATATATATATATATATGCATGCACTTCATTATCCAGAAACCAATGAGCGAGCTAACTTGTGGGTGGGTTGTGTGGACTAGCTCAATACAACCCATTTCTTACTAAATCCCAAATTATTCAACTCAATCAACCACTTTTTTGGCAAGTTAGGCCAATGACATAACCCATATTACTAGCTCTAAAAACATGTGACAACGCTGGTAATACGAGTCAACTTGCAATTTATGAGTTGGCCGACAATGAGTTACAAGGTCTAGCAAGATGGATTGGTATAACCCACATTCTATGTGAGTTATAATTCTACCAACCTACACAATTCGTAATGGGTTGATGGGTCAACCCACTAGTAAAAACATATTTTTTATAATTTTTTAATTATAAATTTATCTCTTTTTATTATTTTTTATTGTAAAAAAATCGTTATTTTTTCTAAAAACTAACCATCCAAAAATAACAATAAAAATCCTTCTAATTAAGTCATGGTTATATCATTACTTAAATCTAAACTAATTTAATTTTCTGATCCTTTTATTATCTAATTTTTACACTTTACGCAAGTTTCTCTTTTGCATATACATAATTTCTTTTTTTGTTTGGTTTAGATTTTAGCATTCCTCAACCTTGAGAGAACAGAAATAACTATGTCTAATTGATTATTAAAAATGGTTGATAATTTTTAAATCCTACCTTTATTTAGGCAAAATAAAAATATAGCTTATCATTTGAAATATTCAACTTATATATGAGCGATGTGTTTTAATCGTTTTATGTCATGATTTAAACTTGAATTAAATAATGTAGAAGTCTCAATTATTTACACTATAATTTTATGCATACTTGCTCTGAATACTTTACTTTAAACTCAATTTCATTCATTTATTTTTTGTCTATTTAAAAAAAAAAACTAATGGAGATTCAAGTTATGTAATACGAGCCAAAATTGCCTTATATTTAAATGAATCATTTTCTCCAATTCAACCTACCATTTTTTTGCGAGTTGGGCTCAACCCGTGTTACCAACTCTAGAGATGTAACATAAATATTATACACTTTCTTTAAATATGATTTAGTCACCCAATTCTATTCTATGCTATGAAATTTCACATATATGTTGGAATAAAAAAAATGCAGCAGAAATTAATATATTTAATTTTCAATTGCAATGCATGTAGAGATCCCAATTTCAAAATGCACACTCCTCTCATTTCACTCTATGCTAAACGACAAAATATTGTCCATTTTCTGTAAATATAGGTCAATTGAAGCAGTGATTAATGTTACTAATCAGACCATCCAGAAGAAGATTAGATTGGACAAAGTTGGTATTCAATTCAACAATACATCAATGAACTATGAATGCAGATAAACGACTAATTTCATGTCTACATTCTAGAACATAACCAAAAGGACAGGACAGAAAACTGAACCTGCCAAAAAAACGACCTATACCAGGAAGAAGAAAGCCAGATACATCCATGAGCTCCTGCCTTCTCAGCAATTACACATAGGCCAAGTTTGAAACTCTAAAACAAGTATGAAAGATAGATGTGGGATTGTAGTTTCCTTTACATTCTAGTCTGAATAATGACAGTTCTAAAAGGCAAAGTTGTGTGCTACAAAATTTGCATCACTTTTACTTTTCCGCAGCTTTCTGCTTCAACATGGCTATGAATTTGTCCCTCTCATCAGGAGACATTCCTTCCGCTGAACAATCTCCTACTCCCCATTCTGCGCCACGTATGCAGTACTTGTCCTGAATCTCTTGCCGATTCCTTCGCATTACGCTAATGTTAGTTACTAGCATTTGATTTGTCTTTTGAAATCAGTACTTTTTCACAGAAATAGCAAAAGGAAATTACTTTTCTTTGTTCAACTTGGATTGCTCTAGCAGCTTCTTCAGCAAAGGAGAAGACTTGAATCTTTCATCAAACTCAGCATATTTCTTCTGGTTTTCCTCTGTAAGTAAAGATAATTGTAGGTCCCATTTTAATTTAATCAGATTAAGCTTCACAAAATCACACAGCATATGGCTCACAATGTCACACCATAACTATAACACAGCTTAGTATCAAACCGTTTAGACGATTCAGAAAGTCAATTTGAGGAAGCTGAGGACCAGGAATAGATTCTATTCCTGAGAATCCTGACATGAGCCCTGCATGAGCTGTCATAAGAGCAAACGTTTCAGCCATTAATGAGGTTGTGTTTATATAACACAGCAAGAAAATGAAATACGTTACATTGGAAAAATTCTTAAATAAACGTACAAGCAAGTTGGTAGAAAAAGTCAGAAAAAGTGGGCGTGGTATCTATTAAGCAAAAAATGGTAAAAAATTATTCGAAAAGATTTGTATATGTACAGAGAAAAGGATGTGGGAGGCACCAATGACATGGAATAGATAGTCTTAAGCTTTGTGAAGAGAGGCGTAAGAAGACCAAAAAGAATGCTAAGGAAAGTTATGGAACGAAATCTTTTGATTAACTATATATCTAAAGGCTTAGTCATTATGTCGTGTAATTTATGTAGCCGATCCTACTAAATGGGACAAGGCTTGTTATTGTAGCCATTCAAGCAAGAGAACTTATCGCAGAACCTTATGAGGTTGAATAGTTCATGATTCACACGGTCATAGACCCCATATTAGAGCCATATATTTTTCACATGAGACTCATGTTTTATACCTTGCAATTATACATCTCACACCACCCGGGAGAGGAAGTGAGAGAGGGTGAAAGACAATGAAAGGCTACGAGATATGAGCTGTTAAAACTTAAAAAGAATCATCACATTGGAGAGCCCAACGTTTATGCACGTCACATATTAGAATCACATCAAAATGAACAAACCCAATTGCAAAGCATGATTCCAAGGTGAATACAATTAAATACATATCTCATATGAGTGTACCTAACAATAATTGGGAAAACAAAAACAACAAATGCAGAGATACAGAAAGAAAGAAGGCGAGAAGTATACCAGGTGGGGTTGAGCAGAGAAGGATAGCAATTGAAGCAGCAAGAGGGAGAGACTTGTGAAGAATTCCGCGAGAAGACGAAGAAGGACAATCAATAGGTCTTGTTCTGCGCATTCTAAGAAGAAAATTTTGAGGAGGGAGGGAGGGTTTTGGAGAAATGGAGAAGTTAGTGGTGGATGATGAAATCTGAAAGAAACAAGATAACGAAGAGGAACCCATGATTGGCCTCTCCCCTACCTCCTCTCCTTCTTCTTCTTCGTTCCTTCCTCTGATTCTCTTTTACGAAGGGAATCAAAAACTCAGGAGGAGATAAGGGAGAGCATAGACAAACGGCTCGCACTTAGCCACTGAAATATGCCAACTAAAGTCAGTGACTGAGTAACTCGGTACGCGTCCATTAAAATTCAATATAATCATAAATTATTTCCAACATAAATACCCTTTTTAATTAATTATTATATGCGCGCGTGTAGTTTAAGGTGATTTAGCAATGAATAATGCATGCTCTCATCAGAATCATATCCATATAAGTTCCACATAAAACCTTCCAATCAATATACAATATTGATTTACTCTTCTCACACGAATATATTTGAGCTTAGCCAAAAACCATAGTATTGAAAACCGGACCGGACCGGCCGGGTCAACCCGAAAACCGGTGAACCGATCCCCTATCCGGTCTGAGTTTGCTCTTAACCCGGTGAGGGAGTAAACCGGTGTAACCCGGTCAACCCGGTATAACCTGGATAACCCGGTGGGTTGACTGGGTTAACCGGGTTAATATTTTTTCAGACTTTTATCTCAAAACGACGTCGTTTTTTATTTTTTTTTTCATTTTTAATTTTTCAGAGTTCTAAATTCAGAAAAAAGATAACAAAAAAAAGTGAAATTGAAGTAAAAAAATAAAAAATTAGAGATAGAGCATGCTAAGTACAAAAATATAGTATTTTATTATTGTTAGACTTTTGAGTGGTTGGATTTGATTGAATATTTTTATAATTAATGTTTTTTTATTTAAATTGTATTATTTTAATCATGACCGGTTTGCCACCGGTTCAACCCCCGGTTCAATTCCGATTGAACCACTAACTCGTGATCCAGTACCATGACCGATTTAATGACGGGTTCGGTTTTACGTGCGTTGCCAAAAACGATAGAAGTTGGATGATGTATGATTTTACGAATCGCTACAATTAAGCTGGCTCATTGACGTGTCCCATCCGGAGATAATTGAAAGTCATTCACAGTTAGTTTAGGACAACCAATAGTAGGGGCGGCATTCAAAATAACCATAGTCGTTTTCCTTTTTTTTTTTTTATCTTTTTTTTTTGTTTACACAAAAGGGTTAAAACTTAGATTATACTTCCTCCAATCTTGTTTGTGAAACAACTTCTAGAAATAATTTAGTACAAAAAATAAGATGTTTTATAATAATTAAACTATTTTTTTAATTTAACCTTTCTTGATTAGCTTTATGATATTTAATGTAGTTGTATTATGGTTTTAAAATCAAGAATGAAAATAAAAGTTCATATTATTTTTATATGATATCAAGAGAACAAGCTAACTTTTTTAAAAATACATAAATAATTAAAAATATCATACAATAAAAATTAGAGAGAATATTATTTATAGAGCCAATTCAAGTGGGCCAAGCTCAATTTAGGTTGACTTAAATATTAAACATATAATAAAGCTCATATAATTAAATCTAATCCTAACAACTCAAGCTTTTGGGCTAGCTTGAATTTTCAAACAAATTATTAAATATTATTATTATTATTATTATTATTATTATTATTATTTTCTTTTTATATAATTTCATTACTTATTTTTAAAAAAATTAATATTTTTAATTTTTATCTTATTTTAATTTATTTTATTACTAATAAATAAAGAATTCAATTATTTCAGCGAAACCCATATGGGATTGAGCTTATTCTAACAACCCAAATATGCTCAAAAATTTTTTTTTTAACAAAAACAAACCTTTTAAACTCCAAGCCCAACCTTGAAAATTTTCAGGTTTATACAAATAACAAGTTAAATTTAACCTGAATTATTACCTCTAATTATTTAACTATAAATAACATAATATATAAGAAGTTCTATACATTTCTATGCAACCAGTGCAAGAGCTCCCTAAAAAGGCTTCAACAGTACATGACATTAATAATTTTGCTTGATTCCAAGCTTAGTAAGCCAAGCAAACACACATCTTGCTTTCTCTATAAAGTGAGAAAATACAATCATCAATCTCTATAATTTTAGAGTTTTACTTTTACTCCCTATAATTTTTTTAATATTTTGTTTATTCCTCAAGTCTATCGTTTCAATGTTTTCAATTGTTCTCCTCCTATAAAGATTGAAAGAACTGAAAAAAAAGCTATGAAAATTAAAAACAAAATTCAAATAAAACTATAAAAATTAATAATTATATTTTCCTCTATATAAATGTGTCTCACATTAATCACCCAATTGCGTCAATTGTCATTTCATATAACCTTTACATACAACCTTTCTGATCCATCGCTACTCTCCTTAGTCCATACTTACCACCTCGGTAGAATCGCTTTCCACCGTAAGTTTGGCAAGGTGCACCGTCTTTAGCGCCCCCCACCCCCCCCCCCCCCCTTCCTTTTTTCCCTCAACGATGGTATATTTAACGAGCTGAAGTCATTTTTCGAACTCAAAGCAACATGCATGAAAAAACATATCTAGTTAGAGAGGGGGGGGGGGGGAAACCAAGCAAAACCACAATTATGATCACTCAAAGCAACATATGAAAAATTGCACACAAAAAAAAAAGAAAAAGAAAAAAGCAACATATGAAAAAAACCAAGCATGGGCACATGAGTATTTATTTTCCCTTTTGATAGTTGAGCATAAAAAAACTATTCATCTATTCGGAACCTCAAATAATTTTTCAACATTATGAACACTTGTGTTTCCAGGATCTATGTGTAAAACTCGTCCCCTGGGAAAACCAGACTTCAGTACTATCCCTCTTCATTTACAATTAGAGTTTTATTCCTCAAGCATGGTCTTTGCAGCATCTATCAGTATTGGTCTAAATTCATTGGGAGCTCGACCGAGCACCGTGTATCCTTCCTTGTCCTGAGCATCTACATCTGCTCCATGTCTTATCAGAAGAAGAGCAACCTGGAAAACAACCCCAAATCATATGATTAAACATTTAAACCCTTGAAATTGTGAGACTTCAACCAATCCACTCTATATATAGGCTCCTAGCTCAAGATGAATACACATTCCAATACCAGGAACCACGTCAAAGGACTGGAGTGACTGAGTTAGATGTATGAAAAATGATACATGTGACAATTTTCTTGAAGATTAAGAGAGGATTATGCATTGTTGATAATGATCAAATCTAATTGGCAGAATCTTCACAAGCATCTGAGGATCTGAAACCAAATTCTTGCTTGGAGAAGATTATGGTCAACAGGATTACCGGTCATACCAGTACATAAACTAATTGCAATGAGTTGTTGAAGCTTCTGATACAATCTTTTTATAACATGAATTAGTTCATCTAATGTACTCTACGCTAGTTCAGAGCTATATCCCATTAAAAGGAAGGGGAGGGGGAATCGGAAGAGGAATACGGAATACCTAAAACAAGTATTATTCTGAAAAACAAACTCCAGATAACTTCTACTACTTCCAGTACTCATGATTAAATTACGTCACAAGCATAACTCTTTGTTTTGGCAAATCACAGCATTCATTAGTGGAGTTTGACCACTAAATGAATGCTGTAAAAGGAAGGGAAGGGGGAATCGGAAGAGGAACACGGAATACCTAAAACAAGTATTATTCTGAAAAACAAATTCCAGATAACTTTTACTACTTCCAGTACTCATGATTAAATTACGTCAAGAGCATACCTCTTTGTTTTGGCAAATCACAGCATTCATTAGTGGAGTTTGACCAGCTCTATCAGCAGCATCAACCTCTGCACCTTCCTCAATTAAAAGTTCACACAGTTCAGAATTCCCGGTGCTCGCGGCCCGATGTAAGGGGGTGCTTCCAACCTGATCACAGTTAAGCCATGCAAATAGTCACTTATATGAGTAGTCCGGGACCATGTGCTTCTGGAGATGGAGGAGAAAAAATATTAAAAATCCACAAGTATATCAAGGATGTCATTCTCATAACCTTGTCCTTAACATTGATCTTTGCACCGTGGGAGATGAGAATTTCAGCAATCTTCAGCCAACCTTTGCTGGCAGCATAGTGAAGAGCAGTTCGGCCCCCATTATTTTGCAAATTAACATCAGCTCCTGTTGAAAAACAATTGAAATAATTTAAACATATTTTCTACTTTGTAAATGAAATATGTTGAGAAAAACCCAGGATAAGTCTTACACGGTTAATGAAACCGTCTAAGAGATATTTAGAAGATAGGAAATTTCGGTAATCAAGAAAATAATTATTCTAGTTAATATAACGAGTGATTTAAAATGAACCCACCAAATGTCTCTCTAACATAGCAAGAGCAGTGACATGAACCATTCCAAATTTGCCAATAATAAAATATGAAGCTTGACAGAAGGAATTTCAAACATTTATGAGAATACGGACCTTTATCCAACAATGTTTCTACTATTTCCAAATTCCCAATGCTAGCCGCAGAATGAATCGGAGCCCACCCTTCTTCATCGGCACTATTTATCACTTTTGCGGATCCCTCAGCAGATGCGAGGATTTTCACCATCTGATTTCATATCAAAACAAACCCAAAAAAGAAAAAAAGAAAAGCTAAGATTGCTGGAAATAATCACCAATAAAAACAAGGATCTAGGGCTGCTTCGAAGCCGACAGCCACAAGGACTCAATTTCTCAAAGGGAAACCAGACCCTTGCCAATATGGTTAAGTAACAGTAATTCCAATCAAATTTTCAAGGAAATAACGAAGAGAGGAATCGGATAATCGAGAAATACGAAGAAACAAAGACCTGAGAGTGACCGGAGGAAGCAGCGACGTGAAGAAGGGAACGTTCATCCTCATTTCGGAGAACGAGAGCATCGGAGAGATTCACCGGAGAGAGAGGTTGGAAGGTTGAGACGTCCCCGTTCTCGGCGGCTTTGAAAAGGTCTGATGCTTTGACTACTTGTTGCTGCTCTGGGTTCGGAGGATCCACTTCCATGTCCATTCGTCACTATCTGTTAGTTCTGGGTTTCAGACTCTCGAAGATTTAAGGCCTTGACGAAACCAGGATTCTCTTTCGGGGCAAAATCGAAATTCTACTTTTAAAACAATTTAAAAAGAAATTAAAAAAATATTTCAGTGCTTTTCTTTTAATAATATAAATTTAATTATGAATTGTTTTTTGAAAAACCACTTAATAGCTTATAGACAGTGTAAAATAAATGATGAATATAAGAATTGAAACATCCAATGCGTCTTGTTTAATTTTAAGCCAACGAACGTTAGTTGACCAGACAGGGCTACAAGTGGCTATGCATTTTTTGACTATCTTCTTCCATTTTTCTTCTTCATCATACATCTGTTTCGACCGTCAAACCTCCATCATCTTCTCTGACCACGTGCCATCAAACCTCCATCATCTTTACAAGAGGAGAATGTAGAATGCAAAATCCCACTACAGTCTGATCAAACCCACTATGATATGAAGGCTATAAAGTGAAAGAGACTACAAGCCTTAAATGGAGATGTCTTAAATCATCCAAGGCCTTGCCAGAGAACAGATGAACAGCAAAGATTTTGCGAAGCTAGCACATGGTGTTATCCACCTGCTCCAGCGTGCACTGCACATACCTGCCGTTATCCATTCCCAACTTGCTCCCATCTTTGCCGGCCAAGCTCACCGCCATCACCTCGTCAAACTTCACATCCAATCAAAACTCAGGCTCTTAATTTGTAAGAAGGGCAGAAGGGAGGGAAGGGAGTAAAATAAAAGGGAGAATGATAGATAAAATCAATTAATTTAAATTAAATTCTAAAGTACTAATCTTTAAGAATTTGTAAATTCGACTTTTAATTTTACAATTTTATTGTAATAAATTTATAATTTAAGTTTTAAATTTTACCCCATTAAGAAATTAATTAGGCTTCTAATTACGAGTAAATTGGGCCTAAATTATGCATGGAGTGTTAATTAAGGTCCAGAAATAGGTTTTGAGCTAGATTGGGCCAATAGATTTGGGCTTACGTGGGAATTGCCTACCTTGCTATTGTTTGCCTGCAAACGAGCCTAACAAAGGGCTCAACTGCTTGTGGATGTGAACGAGCCTACCTTGCAATTGTTTACCGGCGAACAAGCCTAACAAAGGGCTCGACAGCTCACAAATGTGACTAGAGGAGGTGGACTCGTTTTAAGTGAGGTTGGCCTCACATGGGCATGATTTTTGAAGGGGCGACTACGCGCGGATGAATGCTAATATAATGGTCCATGTTTTCGAGCATGGATTTTGTTATGCTAAGGCATGGATTCTTGGAGCCCTGGAGATGCTTCGAGCTTGGAGATCACTTGGGGTAAGTTTCTAGTCTCCCCCTCTCTCATTCTAGTTTTCTCTTGGATTTGAGGATGCTTTTCTTTTAGGGGTTCCATAGGGGTTTAGAATCCAAATTTATGATAATTGTATCTGGTTGCTGAGGTTGATAAAAGTGTAATATATTCACGAAAACATTATTTTGGAGATGAAATTCAAATTTATTGATTATGAGCAAAATCCTAGACTGTTACAATTAAGATTTTATTGATAATCTGAATTTCAAAGATGATTTTGGAATTATTAGAAGTTTATTTAGTACAAATACATGTTTATGAGGTTGTGGAATGACGATTTGAGGTTTGTGATTGAATTTTTAATTTTTAGGTGTTTTTTTGTGCAAATTTAAGGAATAGAAGGGGAATTTTGATTATAGAAAATGGATTGAAGGATTTATTATGGTCGATTAATATTTGATTGATGTTAAATGAGGAGTTAGAATTTTGACTATGGGTACTAATCCTAGGGTAGTGTAAATGGTGGAATTAGAAATTTAAGTGATATTCTTTAACTCCATGTTTTGTTTGGAGTTGTTTATTGGTTTCAAAAATTAAAACTAATATTTCATAATACTATGTAATGTGTAGATTGTATTATTGTTGGAGTTTATGGTGGAAGGAAAATTGTAAAGGGTAAGTTATTGATAAAGCCATGAGATAACCTCTACTAATTTGTTATTGTATGTGCTTTGTGAATAATTATATTTGATTTTGTTGAAAGGATTTATTGTTTGGAAAAAAATGTTTGGAATTGTGCATTGTAAGTTGAAAACGATTATTGCCAAGCGGAATGAAAATTTGTATATGACTATGTTTGGCACGAAATGCTATGCTTGAAAACATGAATTGTTACTCAAAATTATATATGTTTGGAAATATGAATTTGCTTATTCAGGTGTATTATTATTACACAATCTATATGGGTTGCATTAGGAGCCTTGCATTTAGGAGTATTTGATAGTGTTCGGATTGTCACATGGTAAGCTCTCATCTAATCCAAGAGTGGCCCATATAGCTTGGGTTAATTTACCTTTGGTCAGGGCGAGCTAAGTGTTAGGAATGGAGGAAGGAGGAAATAAGGTGATGTATGTATGTATGTATTTGGTTGTTTAGTTCTTATTGTCTGAAAAAATGTCTCGCATAACGCCCTGTTCTATTAACTAGACACTTAGCAAACAATAATCGAAAAACAAAGGCTACACCCACTTATTTAATTCAAAGCATCCTTTAACTTTTGTGACGTTATAATTTAACATATATCCAAATTCTAGAAATCTTAATCTAAGCCAGTTTATGGTGGACTACCGTCCAATAACTAAAAGCAAATAAAATGAAAGAAATATGGTCTACAAATGACAAAAGGTCCTATAGTCATGGCAAAAAGTAAATATAATCTTGCATGTGCTATAAGGAGTACAAGAGCTAAAGGCTCACTCCTCTGGTGCCTTCCCTTGATTCTTGCTTAGGCCTTCACTTGAAAAATGTTTAAAGAAGGGGTGAGCACTAACGTCTCAGTAACCCAAAGTTTAATCATACATGTATAAAACTACAATTATACAATAATACAATCCATATACAAGTGAGTTCATAAGAGTTATTTAATTATAACATAAGAATTTTATAGGAAATAGCTCATAACATGTCAATATGCAACATCAAAAATCTCTCTTATTACTCCATCCATCCTTATTCCGCTGACTAGAACTATAGACTTAAATACAGTCCGGCCCACACGCTAGACTGACCAAACTTTTCCAGTGCTTGAGATGTACCCGACCAAGGTATAGAGCCCAAGCCTAGACTACAGCTCCCCTCCTTTAAAAACCCTAACCAGGAGGTGTCACTATCCCATATTCCCCCTTACAAACCCAGCCAGGTAAGTATTGAGGAATGAGAGTATGAAAAAGGCTAACCACTATGCGCGTAGTGAAGGCAAACCACGTGGTTATTGAATCATATATGTACTAACATCATCATCTCCTCTTCAACCCATTTCCCAATGCATACTACACATAAAACAACAATTACATCATGTACAAGCATGCTTGAAAAGAAATAGATTTATCTCATTCAATTAACTCAATGTACAAGTATGCTTGAAAGAAATAAACCACTCTTAACTAATACATATCATTTCCACCAAATAAAATTTATTAATATGCATTTACAAGCATGCTTGAAAAGAAATACTAATAATATATACCCGAGCTACAAGCATGCTTGATGGGATTTAAGTAACATATAAAATTTCTTACAATTAAATTTAGGATTATACACATTCATTATCAAACACACAGCTCACACACATATGGAAAACCCCAAGTTACTTGTTCTCCTTGAGCACACGCAACCACACAGCAAAACCAAGCAAGAAGAGCTATCAGTGAGAGTCTACAAAAATCACATGCAGGTAAAAATATTAATAAAGAATTCAAAGTTATTAAGAATGTCCCTACAACTATCGTAAGGTTACCTTAAAATGACTATAAAACCTTAGCGCTACCTTTAAGGGCCTAGTATTTTCCTTTAAAATTCATATCACTTTATAATTTAATTAATTTATTAATAGTCAAGTTTCATTTCAAAATCCAATTATACATGTTCCTAAACTTATAAGTCTCAAGTGTTAATTTAAATTATTAGTTTATAACTACTTATATATAATTTATTAAACTACTATTATAAATACGTAATAATAATATGCTTGTATATATGCAACTATAATAAGCATCAGAAGGCTAACATATAGTTTTTTTCTTAGGTCATATATATAAGAAAGAAGATAGGCTTTAGTTATATATATATATATATATATATATGCGTGCTCACGTCCTCTGTAACATCCCTATTTAAATTTTAATAGTTAATTTAAATTAATAAAAATTTTGAAAAAAAATATTGAGAGGTAAGTAAATTAGTAGAAAATGATCATTAAATCTAACTTAGGATATAATTCTAAATAAAAATTTAAAAAAAATAAAAAAATAATATAAAATAAAATAAAAAATTATTATTAAATTATTATAATAAAAAAAAGAAAAAGAAAGGTATTAAAAAAAAAGGGAAGAAGAAGAAGAAAACCAGTTGCTTTCGGCGCCGCGTCATGATTACATAAAATAAAAAAAAAAGGGAGAGAGAGGAAAGAAGAAATAATAAAAAAAAAGATGTGGGACCCACTGAATTTTTATAAAACTCACCCGTTTCCTTTCATTTCTTCAATTCTTTTCCTGCGTGCGAGCTGAGGCGGAGAAGCGAGTCGCCAGTGCGAAATATCTAAATTTTAAGGTAAGAGTTTTTAATAGGACATTTAGGGTGTGATTTTAAGCTTTTCAAGACTAAGTAAGTGTTCTAAAATTTTTTCTTAGTCATCTTTTTTCTTTGGTTTCTGAGTTTGTAGTGGTAGAAAATTTAAGATCTGAAAGAGGGATGAATTTATGTTGAATAAATATGATTTTTGAGGTTGTCAGTAGTATAATAAATGTTCTAGAGTATAATTTATTGATGATCTTTGAATATGTGGCTTATGGATCAAATTCTAAACTAGATCTGAAAATATATGTTGATTTATTGAGGTTTAGATGATTATTTGGGACGAGAAATGAATTATTATGGTTATAGGATTATGATTCTAAGCTAGAGACTCAATTTTTAATTTTTGGATATTTTATGTACGAATTTATGAAATAAAAAGAAAA